GGGGGGCAGCCGGTGGATGCGCAGGACCGAGTTGCGGTATGTCTTGAACTCGTTGGCGGCATCGAGTGCGACGCGTGCGACGGCCTGCAGCTCGCCGATGCGCGCGTCGAGCGACGCACGCAGCTCATCCTCGTCGGGCGGCGTCTGGCCAGCCACCGCGATGAATCCCGACAGGTCCAGCAGGTGCGGGGCCAGGCCCTGTGCTGCAGCGGGGCGAGCGCCCCCCTCGGCGAGGACACAACGGGCGGGCGTCGCATCATGTGCGGCTTCCATTCTGGCGGCGGGTGCGAGTGCACTGCGGGATGCGACGACGACGACGCTGGTGGAGACGGCGAGGACAACGCGTGGAGACTGGTCATCGGCCACGAGGACTACAAATACAGCATACAGCGGCCACACATACAGCATACAATGATTAAAATATAGCATACAGCAGCTACAAATACAACGTAGGCGGGTCTCGCTCCGCCCGCCCGCGCCTGACCCAACTCCCTCTGCCAGTAGCACCCGCGTACATCTCGACAGAGGCGCAGCCCCCGGAGGTCTTTGTCTTTGATAACAACATTGAAGAGGCGACGCTTGGAGCGAGAGAGGCAGGTGTACGGTTGTAGTGCTCGATGGCGGACCAGAGGGGGCAGAATGGTCAATGGCAACACCGTACGGATAACTCTCGAGCGAGGCCAAAATTGTGGGCAGGTGCCACCTCTCTGGCCGCTCCCGCCGAGGCAGCCGAAAACACCGTCCAGCAAAACGCCCGCGGCGCGTCGAAAGCACGGAGAGACACCAAGATATCGTCCGATGAAAATGTCGCTCAAGCTCCCTGAGCGCACGAAGACCTGGCACGTTCTCCAAGTCGGCTACAGGCTCCTCGTCCGCTAGAAATATATCAGTATCGTTGTCATGCAGACAGGGCAAATGGTGCAACAGCCCCGCACTTGGCGGAAAGACGCGTTTCGTACCTTCGATACTGGCTCGTTCACCGGTGGCTCTAAGCGCACTCCCAGACGCGGTCCTGCTTACCCGGAGTCTGAACCGAACCGACCACATGATCGCGTCAATCAATATCACCCTTTCGTTACTTAGTCGAGACCGACAGCGGCGGCGCTGCACCTTCAACATTGCTTCAAGGCACTCTGCCATTCACGCACCCAAGGTTTCACCGACACGAGTACGGCATCGGCGAATTAACAGCGCTATACGCCTAAAATCAGCATCGTAGTAGTATCGCATTATAGTATACCGCTAGCTTAAAGAGAGACCGCGAGACACCGAAAGACATCACAGAAGAGCAAGCGCGTGCGCGTCGCGCACCAACGCGGTACGCGACCCAGCGAGCGGTTGATCCCACCGCGGGGGGCGCAGCTGCAGAGGCCCGAGGGCGGCGGCCTCACGCCTGCCGCGCCCTGCGCCGGGCGCGCCACCGCGGGCCCATGCGGTACACGACGAGCATGATGGGCGAAAAGAACACACAGAGGCCCGCGAGGAGGACGTACGTCCACCCGGGGCCGAGGCGGCCCAGCATCGGGTTGATGGCAGACACGAGCGCGGCGCCGAGGAGGCACCGCACGAGGTTATTCTGCGCACGCGGCCGTCAGCCGCAGAAGGAGGAGGGAAAAGGGGGGCGCGTGGGGCGGGACGTACGCATGCGGTGACCGAGGAGCTCTTCCCGGGCGCGAGGTCGACGATCACGGTCTGCGTGACGTTCATCGTCGCGACGGTCGCGTAGCCCACTGCGCGCGCGCGCGTCAGCGCCGCACCGGCAAGGAGCAGAGGAGGAGGGGGGGGACTCACGGAGGACCTGCAGCACCAACGGCGCGGCGATGCTCGCGCGGCGCTCGAGCGTCCAGCCGTAGCCGACGGTGACCGCGACGAACAGGCCGAGGTAGACGGGCATGAGGCGCAGGCGCGCCTCCTCGAGGGGAAAGTCGGCGTGCCGCGCGACGTCGCCGAGGTGCGCGCACTTCTCCGCGTCGCCCGACGCAGCCCAGGTGCGCGCGATGCGCTCCTTGACGAGGCGGTACTCGCGGTCGAGAATGCGACCCGTCATGAGCGCGCCGATGAGGCCGCCCACGCCGATAGCGAGGAAGCAGAGGCCGACGTCCGTTTCGGACAGGAAGGGGTACGCGTCGACGAAGAGGATGGAGATGCTCGTGGTGACGCCGTAGAAGACGGCGTAGAGGACGCCGGTGAAGAAGAGGAGCAGCACGATGTCGGGGTAGAGGAGCAGCTTGAATGGGTTGACCATCTGGGGCGGGTGCCCGCGCAGGGCGGGGTCCGAGACGGTGTCGACGCGGCCGCGGCCGAGGACGGGCACGAGGGGGCGGTGTATGGGGGCGGTGATCACGCTGCCGTTTCCGACGAGGGCGCGGAGGGTCTCTGGGAGAAAGCTGCGGGGCGTGTGAGCGGGAGAGGAAGGCAGGGAGGGGCTGCACGTACAGCAGGATGACGACGAGGACGACGATGGCGAAGATCACGAGGAGCCAGAAAATGGCGCTGCCGGGGCCGTGTCGGACGAGTGGCGACGGGTAATGTAAAGATGCGTGCTCACCGCCAGCCCAGCCGGTCCGAGAGAACACCGCCGATCACAGGGCCAAGGCAGGGCCCGATCTGGGGGAGGGATAAGAATGAGCATGGGTTGCGTGGGGAAGGGGCACGGGGGACGTACCATCGGGCCAGCATTGCTAATACCAAAAAAGATGCCGCGCTCGTGCGGGGCTGCAATGTCGGCCACGACGCCGGCAGCTGTGAAGGCGAGGTGAGAGCAGAAGGATGGGGAAGACAGCCAGGGGGAAACGGACCGATGGAGACGGTGCTGGCGGAGCCGGCAGCCTGTAGGCATCGGAGGAGCATGAGCAGCCAGTAGGCGTCAGTGGGACAGAGGGCTAAGCCGACACATGCGCCTGCGAGGACGGTGAGACAGGCGAGGAAGATGAGGCGCCTGCCGTGCTTGTCAGCGAGGGTGCCCCAGAGCATGGGTGCTATGGGAGGGGGTGAGTGTAGCGCACTGGGAGGGGGATGGACAGGGACGGACCGACTGCCTGGACGATCATGTACACGGTGATGGTCAGGTTAATGTCCTCTACGCTGCGGTTAAATGCGGAGGCAATGGTGGGGATTGCAGGGAAATATATGTTGGCGGTGAACGGACTGTGGGAGTGTGGGGAGTGAGTGAGATGCACGGAGGCAGATGAATTACTAGCCTGAGGGTGGAGGCGAGGGAGCCGACTAGGACAATGAAATATTTCTCGGAGGTGGTGAATATGCTGTAGGGCTTTTCTTGGGACATGGGCTGTGATTCGTCGTGAGAGAAGGGTCTGGACTCTGAGGAGGAAGATCGGGCATCGAGTTGGGCGGCTGCTTGGAGATGGGCGGGAACTGAGGAGGTGGGAGAGGATGAATGGGATGGCTAGACGGACCTGGTTGGATCGGAGCATCCTGGGAGGAGGAGGCTGCGGGCGAGTGGGACATGCTCGCGAACGGCGCAGAGGAGACGGGGGGAGGAGGAGGAGGAGGAGGAGGGCGAGATATATACAAGGAGGGAGAGAAACCGTGATCTGAAATTACCATGTATGGACTCGGAGGGTGCAGTCAGCGGCACGCGCGGCACCGGAGAAGGGCCCCGTGCGCATGACTGCCTGCCCCCTCCCCTCCCCATTCTCACCCCCCGGCGTCTCTCTCCCTCTGATCGACCCGGACGCAGATCTCAAGTCACGTCCGATCGCATCCCGACGCGCTCACGTGCCACGCGCCAGGCGGTCACGGTCTCGTGCGCCCCAACTTGACCCGGTTCCTTCAATCGCTCGAGGGCCACCCACCGCTCTAGTCAACAAAACACTTACGAAATATTCTTCTCAATCTAGCAGCGAAATTTGACGAGTGTGGAAGATGACAACCATACATAATATCCCTCCCGAGGTCCTCAAGACGATATTTGAACATGCCACAACCTATGTGGACAAGGAAAAGTGTCAAGAACTCGCTGATCGCGTCATCTCCGTATGCCAACGGTGGAAAACCGTCGGCCTCGAGACTCCCGCCTTGTGGGCCACCATCTACGTGACATTGGATTATGATCATTCGGACTACGGCTTCATTCAAACATCGCTCGCCCGGTCTGGTCACCATAAGCTGGACATCAACCTTTGGATTTTACATTCACATCTCCCTTCAAACGGGAGCGTTGAGAGCTGGATTTCAAAAGTGATGGAGCTACTCCTGCCACACATGAAGCGATGGAAATCGCTTTACATGTACGTCTCGCTGTCTGACCTCGCTGCCATCGCAACTGCATCTTGGACGGGCACCGCTGTTGCCCTGCAGGCACTGCAAATCGAATCTTCCGGAGCCGATCAGGGCATTCCCGATGTATGTTCATTCTCTCTCCCCGCAACGTTTTCTGCACCCAACCTTCGACTTTATTCCCTGCAAAGTATGGACTGCGTAGAAGTCCAAGACGCGATAAACATGCCCAAGGCGTTTCCTGCTTTGCGGATCCTCAGGATTTGCCGGAGAACCTTTAAATGGATTGACACCATGGAGATGATGCAGTTGTTGCACCATTTGCCCTCTCTGCAGCTGCTCAGTCTCGACGGTCCCATGCTCGACCAAGAGGATCCAGACCCCGCAGACGCCATCGAGAACCCGCCATGCCTTCGCGCGCTCCGTGAGCTTGAATTCACATTTGTGGGTGCCTACGACGTCGCAACATCTCTCCGTGCTTTCGATGCCCCACTCCTTGAGAAGTTGACCATCGGGGGGTGCCACAGTGAGGACTTGTCAGAGGGGTTGATGAGAATCGAAGCCCAACTAGCACGCTTCCCTTCACTGCACATTCTTAACCACGGCCACAATCACTACAACGGAGAGCAGACCTTCAGCATGAAGCAGACATGCACCTGCTTCAGTACATTTCGACAATTTGACCTCGGCGACGTCTCGCTGCTCGATGTTCTCAGCTGCCTCGCCAAAGAACAGCCAGAAGGATGGTACTTACCCACTCTGACCTCGCTCGAGCTCCGGTCTGGCCGTGAGCATGCGACAAGCTACGTTGGCCTACTGCGCGATCTCGTGGAGGCACGCCAGGGCGCACAATTAGCCACAGGTGAAGCCTCAGCTACCCGGCATCCACTCGCCCTGGAAGAGATCACCGTGCACGCGTGGTGTGACATATCTGAGGAAGAGCGCTCTTGGTTCAAGGAGAGACTGCAGACCTTTAAATGGGACCCGGATTTGAGTGAAGATAGACAAATGCCGAGTTCCGTGGCCATGTGTTGTGCTCCTGCACGTAAATAACCACGGCCTGCGTCAATCGTCCTACGCCATAAAACGAAGGCTCTTCCATCTTGTTTTCATTTTTATTTATTTGATTTTACTTTGGTATACATGGATTCCACCTTAGTACGTTTGTCACCGACCTTTGATTTCGCAATCAAGCAGATATAACGAGCACGCTCGGATCCAGACTCCCTCTCGAACGCGGACTCAGAGGAGTCTGACTCTTGAGTTCGTCTAGATGCCGTATCCGCAACGCGATCACGTGGGATTGAAACGTCTATATACTAATAGTACGGGGTTATGTTTGTGACACGGACGGAAGGATCGCTTCATGCTGTACATGTTATTGTACTATAGTATATGTATGAGATTCATAGTTGGGAATGCACCAGCTAGCAGTGTGTTCTCCTGTCGGTAGCCCTTACATGACGACCTCTCGAGTATAAGGAGGACGTCATACCATCGCTGTGGCCACCGCCCGACCGCTGTCACATTTGCAAGTGGATTGCAACAACTATTTCTTGCCCCGAATCGCTCCCTGTTCCCTCACGACTTTTATGTGCGGACCAAGTCTCGCACCCTTGCACGCCCCACTGTCAATCATCGATTACTCTCAACCCGGAGCGACAGCATCAGCCGACGATGACGACGATGTCGCATATGCGACTCGTGCATAAGCCCATTCCGAGGGTCGTTCTAGATGACACCTACCTTGGCACTGTCGACTCCTTGTGACCTAGAGCGCTAATTGCCCGACACTACAGACGGACACAACGGCTCGCCCACCCGGCTGTAATCTTGCACGCGATAGTGCAGACCAGCCTGGCGGCACATCTCGAGTGAGTCTGCACCCCATCGTTTAACCACCTGCAGGGCACATGAGCGGAGAACCAGGTTCTATTCTCGCCGTAAGACACAAAATTCGCAATGGGCATCATACCGCAGCAGCGTGCCGTGTCTATCCCGACTTCGCGCCGCCGAGCAGCCATCGGATGGCCTGCCTGAGGTCCTTGTCATGCTTCACCGCTAGAGAGATGCTCGGGAACATCGCGGCAAACGCATGCGGAACGCCGGGGTATCTACATATCAGCTCAACAGTCGGAAGGAGACGTTCGGGGACGAGGGGCCGACACACGCACACGTCGAGTTTGGTCGCCACTCTGTCCTCTCTGAGCACTTTCTCGTAGAGAAGGCACTCGTCGCGCACGGGATCCCACCCGCACACCTGGATATATGCCGGAGGAAGTCCCTTGTGGCTGGGATACAAGAGCGGAGAACATTCTGGATTGAACGGCTCCGCCTTCGCAAGACCTGACAGTGTCCCCCCGCCTCAGCGTCCGCCCTAACCATAGAGGGCAGCGGACTTACGGGCTATGAAGTGGATGTTCGCGGTGGTGAAGAAGGGCGCGTCTTTCTCCGTCTCCGTGGATAATAGCTCGGATTTGTACTTCTCTGGCACGGCCTCGGGGTGGACGATGGTCGGGTACTGGAGGATGTGGCCGCTGAGGGGCCTGTCTGCGAAAAAAGGATCATCTCTCACACGGTGCGCCAATACCGCTGTGAAATTCGCCCCAGAAGATTGGCCTCCCACTATGAAGCCTTTGGCCAGCGATGCAGAGAGGAGAGGCGCGTTTTCCACCGCCTGGAACGCGCGCGGGTTAGAAGAGACCGAAGGCACTATCTGCTTGAGCATACCCATTTCAGCGCTGCGTAACAGTCGTTGAGGCCGTTGGGGAATGGATGCTCGGGTGCGAGCCTGGGTCGCACACTCATCGTCATGAGATGTGCCGGATTGAGCAGGGCGGGACCGACCTGTAGTCGACATTCACGATCGAAATCTGGAGATCGACGCTGAGATCTCTGAGGTAAAAGTCATCTGTGTCCAGAGACCCGGTTATCGACCCTACGCCCGCACAGAATTCATTATCCATGACCGGGTCCAAGTTACTAGACTTTGCTCACCTCCGCCATGAATCCATAACATGAGGGGAAATACCTCGTCCTCGTTCCCAGAAGGCGTGGGAATTACGCATCGAATAGCGATCTCACCTCCGTCGACAGGAATCTGATGATCCCGGACACGGTACTTGCTTTCTTGATACAACCATCAGCTCCAAGACCTCAACATTCGAGCGGACGGGGAACGCGACCTGGAGGGAGATGCGGCCGGCGGATATTCATCAGAGCGGGTGTGACGACGTTTTGGACCAGTTCGCGCCAGGCCGTGATGTCTTCCGGCACGCCGCCATTGGTGGGCAGCTGCGCAAGCAGCGGAGCGAATTCGGGGTCGGGTGTCGATAGACTGCGATATTGTGACATTGTCGAGCCCAGAGATGTCCGAAGTATGCTGCCGCCGTGGGCCCCTTTTAATCCATGGACAAGAGCGCCTAGAATCGCAGTACAACGTCGGATTTTGTCGGATCATCCCCATCCCTCGCGCAGGAGGTCATCGGTCAGGGTGGGATGCCGGATGGAAAGCGTTCGGCATCTCAAATGCACCCATGAGGCTCTTCACCCCAGGTGTATACCGTACCGAGGTGAAGTAGTTCCAATACGCCATAAGCGGCGCCAAAGAGAGAGCTCGATGAAACTTACCAAACAGCATCCAAGCTTGAGACCACAACGCAAAACGGACACGAGAGCGGAAATCTCGAACTTCTCGAATGATTAAATCCTAATTATCAGAGGTGCAAGAAATGAAACAGTGCGCACGCCAACAGTCCTAGCCAAACATTATCAAGTTAAAGTCCAATGCGCAAATGTCCTTGATCGAATGTCAGCAAATACTATTTCGGATTGCTCTCGGGCAGCGCAAACTCTGCCTGCCACCAGCCATACGGGCTCAGCACTGTTGCATGCCTCGGCAGGCACTCTACTTCAAATGTCTCGAACGGATAGCGTTCTCCATCTATGGAAAGAAGATTGTTTCGTGAGCATGGTTCAATTCGGTAAGCCTGCGCTTTGATATAGTGTTGCTACTCAAAACGATGTCAGTATCGTGACGCATGCGATAAGACACGGGCGAATGATTGCACTGACAGAGGGCATCCAATACGGTTGGCCAGTACCAGAACCGTCCATGGCACGGAGCAAACCACGCCGTGGTAAAGACTGTTACATTCCCTATTATTGCAAAGATCATAAATGAAACATCTGAACTACTTACTTGCTCCTGTACGACAATGTCTATCAAGCCATCATCCGGTAATGCAACGGGAAATTGCATGAGGTCACGGGAAACCCATGGGCCTTTCCCTGCGTATACATATATCAAGGGCTTGTCGAAAGATACCCACTTGGCTTCGCTGTCTGGCGCCGACACTGATTTTAACTCTGGAGGTGTTGCGATTACAGGTGTGAAGGGGGCAACAAATGATGCGCTGTCGGCGTCCGCGGCAAGATGTTCCGACGACAAAACTTTATTGGTGAGAGCTAGCTGCTCTCTAGCTTTCGATTGGTATTCGTGCAAGCTGTATACCATTTGCCTCTTATCGGTTTCCGCCGGTTTGTAAGAAAGCTTGATGGGACA